TTCCCAATGCATTTATTCCATTTAATGTACATTTTTTGCCCTTATACTGGAAAATCCTGAGATTAATTTGGCCCCAGAATTGCATTAAAGATGCAAAAACACGGATTTGAAGAAACTTTAAGCGAGTTGGAATCTAAATTATTTTAGCCCTGTTAGATGGATTTTTCCCCCCCTCAACTCTTGTTTCATATTTAAAATAATAAAACAAAATTATATTATTTGGAGTTCTCAAATTCCTCTTGTAACTCCCATTTCATGTTTGCACAACTGGCACCTTATTTTGATTCAAACAACAGAAGGAAAACAAATAGGTTTGCCTGATTTTCAGCTCCATTTCTTCACTTTGAAAAAGTATTTTCCAGCTAAAGCGAAAATCAGGAGCCATTAAAGAAAAGGCTTTTCCACACAATGAAAACTGGGTGTGCTTTGGGAATGAAGAGACAAAAAGGACTGAGGGAAGGACCAGGAAATAACAGGAAAAAAGCTGCCAAAACCAGATTTTGACAAACTATTTTTTGTAATACATCTAGACATATATTGATAAAATAAATGTCCACATACACACACACAAATATATATAAATACACAGAACATAAGTCACAATATTTGGCTGATAAATCAATATATTGTATCAAAAGAAATAGAAATACCACTCAACATTTGTATTAAGAAAGTCAAACAGATGAAAAAGTGATTTAAGGTTCTCCAAGCAGAGCTGCAAACAGGGAATTCTCACTGCATCGAGTCCCTTCCAGAGCTTTCCTGGCCCTGCCCTATGGGAAACTCCAGAAATTCCTAAATTCTTCCAGAGAAGGCCCATGGATGAGGCAGATGTTTGCCAAGAAATAGTGCACAGAGCATCCATACAGGGCAGGGAATCCCTGGAAGTGTCCAAGGTCAGGTTGGATGGGGCTTGGAGCAACCTGGGATAGTGGAAGGTGTCCCTGCCCTTGGCAGGGGGTGGGACTGGATGAGCTTTAAGGTCCCTTCCCAACCCAAATCATTCCATGATTTTCTGGTTCTGCTATTAAATGGTGTTTGCGGGTTCTGAGGACCATAATTCCCTATTTGTAAATGTTCCAGGAGGATCACACAGCTGGAAGGTTG